CACTACCAGGACTAAACCCCCGGACTACATACCCAGGACACCTCCCGCTACACTCCCAGGATACACACCAGGACTAACACCAGGACTACCTACCAGGCTAACTCCCAGGCTACACTACCAGGATCCCCACTCCCAGGATACATACCAGGACACACTACCAGGACTACAACCGGGGGCTTATTCCTCTAAGAAAAAGGAGGAGTAATGTAAACAGAAAGAACAGGCGCTCCCTTTACAGGCGACGGAAAAGAATAACAGAGCGGCTAAAAGAGGTCAATATATCTGAATGCGTAGGGAGAACACTGGTCAGAGAAATAGCAAGCATCGAACTTAAGCTAAAAGAATCCTTTAGGAGTCAGGAATCGCGGGAAGAACTAAAAGCCATAATGAAATCGAAAGAAACCCAAAGTATTTCTTCTCCTATGCCAAATCAAAATCGAGAACAACGTCCAGTATTGGGGCCCTACTTAAACAAGATGGGTCCTACACAGATGACAACAAGGAAATGAGTGAGCTACTCAAGTCCCAATATGACTCAGTTTTTAGCAAGCCGCTAACCAGACTGAGAGTCGAAGATCAAAATGAATTTTTTATGAGAGAGCCACAAAATTGATTAACACAAAGCCTATCCGATGTTATCCTGACGCCAAATGACTTCGAACAGGCGATAAAATGACATGCCCATGCACTCTGCCCCAGGGCCAGACTCATGGAACTCTGTGTTCATCAAGAACTGCAAGAAGCCCCTATCACGAGCCTTTTCCATCCTATGGAGAGGGAGCATGGACACGGGGTCGTCCCACAGTTACTAAAAACAACAGACATAGCCCCACTCCACAAAGGGGCAGTAAAGCAACAGCAAAGAACTACAGACCATAGCACTAACATCCCATATCATAAAAATCTTTGAAAGGGTCCTAAGAAGCAAGATCACCACGCATCTAGAAACCCATCAGTTACACAACCCAGGGCAACATGGGTTTAGAACAGGTCGCTCCTGTCTGTCTCAACTATGGATCACTACGACAAGGTCCTAAATGCACTAGAAGACAAAAA